CAACACCCCAATCGCATAAGTATAAAGGATTCATGCATTTCAGAGGGAGTTAATTATATAATTTGTACAAAGTATAATTATATATAAGAAATTTCAAATACAATAACTTTATAAAAATTCCATTATACCAATTTTTTTTGCTAATTTTGCTGTGTTATGGAATATCAATCCAAATCATATCTCGGTGAGTTTTATGACAATAAATAGCTCGAAGTTTAACTTACAAATTTTAATCATCTTTGTGTTAATTATTTTTTTCGAATTTGTGCATTCTATTTAAACTAATCTCTTTTAAAAGCTAAATGATTTGTTGATCATTAATTAACTTTCCGTAGGGCAAGTTATAGTAATCGCAAAAAAATCGAAAATGAAAATTTTTGCATTTCTCGACGTTTCAAAGGTTTCTGAATATTTTGGCATACCTTAGAAAAAATGGATGTATGTGTGTGTGTGTGTTTGTGTGTGTGTGTGCGTGTGTGTATGTATGTGCGGATACAAATTTTCGTCGACGATTTCGGGAACACCGATCAACCGATTTGAATAATTCAAAAAACATTCGATTTGTATTGATAAGGAGACGTGCTGATTAGTTTTTGGCGAAGTCAGGTCTAGCCGTTTTGAAGATACGGGGCAAAAAGCGCCGAAAACGGTAACTCAGTTTTTAAGAGAACGGAGCGTCCGATTTTAATAATTCAAAAAACATTTTACTTGTATTGACAAGATGAAGAACCGATCAAATTTTTCATAAAGGCAGCTCTAGCGGTTTCGGAGATCTAATAAAAAAAAGTAAAAAAAAATGCCATTTGGCGGTCAAAAATGATCATTAGACATATGCACATCAAATTATCAGATATTTTATAGAGATTTTAACAATAAGTATAATTTTGGTTTACATTCTTATGGGTTCCGTACCAATGTTTACGCGTAAGACGTCGACGCGGCGCTTACGCGGTTTGATATTTCGTCTTTATGCAGTTAAAGCAGTACGATTGCTTTAAAAAAAAGTTTAGATCTTTCAAAATAAGTCAAAATAAAGAAAACATTTTTTTTTTTCAAAAAAAAAAAATAAAAAAAATTTTTTGTCTAATTGTTTGTCAAAAATCTTATTTTTTCGAAGTATTTTTTTTTCAAAAATGTTATGATTTTTTTTAAAAAAATAATAATTTTTGGTACGGGAAGTTCCAGCAATTTGCCTTAAGGCACGATGCCTTAATTGCCTTAAGACAGAATTCCACTTACAGCTGGTTATAGGAATATTTATAAATTCGCTCTGTTCTAAGTACCTGACCTAACCATCTTGTCTCACAAACACGTGTTCCATTCCGCAAATATCGATTTTCCCTCAGGCACGAGGCTTCGGGTGTCGGGCGTGGCATACACTCTCATTCACAAACAGCTCCACAGTGTTTGCTTGCACTTCTAATTAAATTTCTGATGAGGGATGAATATTGGATATGGAGTAAATATTTGTAATAGGGGTTAAAAATAGATTTCTCCATATTTTTGAGTTTGTAGACATTGTTACACGATCTTTCTTATTCCATGGTTTACATTCAATGGCAACTCCTGCTTCACTATCGATTCGACGCATCAAATATATTCAAATCTTACATTGAATCTTACATTAATAAATTACAATAAATTTACAGTATTTTACTATAATAAATTTATAGTATTTTAATTAATTAACAATTAAACACGATCGGAGTTTGGCTTGCTATTTCAAAGGGAAATAACCCATACCCGGCATAGCTGCACCAATAAAAAGTTCATTACTATACAGTAATTGTAATAATAAACATTTATAAAATAGTACGGTTAAATCATCAAAACAGCTTATGGGACTATAAATATAAAAAATATTAATATCCAAAGCGGTATTTTGATTAAACTAATTTCACATTGCACTTTTTAATTTGTTATGATAGTAAAAATGAATATAAATTATATACATATTTTATTTTGAATTTTTTAGCGACAAAAATGAGCTTTTTTGTTGTTTTTTTATGTTTTGATTATGAAGCAAAATATAATTTTTGTACTAAAATTCTTTTATTATCTCCCAAAAACAGCGAGGCATAACATAACAAACGTATCTGTCATTTCTTGAATATTCAATCCATCATTTGATAAGGAGCTTTGTGTCACCGGTTTAGATAACGAAATATAATAGGAAGACTGATATAAGATAAACAAATCTTTCGGGGATGACATATCGCAGTGGAACACGCATCAACCCTCTTGTCTCAATGTTTTTCTAAAGTCAGACCCTAATCAAATATATTAACAAGATATATTTCCAGAAATTTATTACAGCAATCTTCACATTTTTTGCAGTATCTATTTAGTGAATTATTGCTTTCTGACTGTTTGTATAATGTTACAAAAATTGCAACCTGGTACTTATTTTTTATTTAATTCAGTTTTTTTGAACTTTTATTCAAAAAAATATTTTTTAATTTTCAAGTTGTTTAGCTTTACATTTTCTTTAGTATTTTTTTTTGCAGTTTTGAATAAATTTATTGTTAGGCTTAGATACCTATCAATAAAATAATTAGTTATGGATTATTTCTGAATTTTTAAATGAGTTGAA